TTATTAATGTCAAGGATTGCAAACTCCTTACCACTCTCCACTTGATACTCTATGCAACCAACTTGGCTCCAAAGACTAGTGTGATGTTGAGTCAGGGGCAATATAGTGATATTTTTATATCCTACATGCTTGTCCCATCTGCTTAATCCAATATATTGAACACTAAAGCTTGGCTTTAAATCAAGCCACTACATAACAAACTCTTTGTCCTTGCCCTTGAGATCAATAATATGGAAGAGAGAAGAAATACCGCCAGGCCTCATGTCGAGCTCCTTGATTCCTTGCTCCTCAATAGTGGTATTGGGGCCATAATATGTAAGTTTCATATTTTCTTTGCTCCCGTAAGCAGAGCCTGACAGCTCAAATTTGAAATCCCAGCCCTTATTTACATCTTGTCGAATATCTTGTGAGCATTGTAGTGAATAAGCTTTGTCAGTGGACTGCACATCAGTTATTTGCACACATGGAGGCGATCTCCTTGGTGTGCGGCCGTCGAGATAAGTCCGCATTGTCCCTCCGCGATGGTGGTGATCCAAGGCGTTCGAGTCCTCGGAATGATCCAATCTGGCAGCAGTGGAACTTCCTGCCGCAATATCTCCAGTAGTGGGCCGCCGGCGATCTGGTGTTGGCTTCCGGGAAGGGTCATGGAGCCCGCCTTGGCCTTGCTGGTATGATAGAAGAAGGATTGACCCTGGAAGGAGACGGAAAGGCTCTGGGTGGTTGTGCAGAGGGCCCTCTCAGCTTCCGATCCCTCTGCTGTCAAAGCGCCACGGGGATCTGGGTGGGGAGAAGAGGGACGGGTTCGATCCACGGACTGAGACCTCATAGAGGCCACACATTGCGAAAATGTCTATGGCGTCGACGGCCGATGGTTGTGGAAAGGTGAAGGAAATCGCCGGGAACAAAGGTTGGATGATGACGAGGAGATAGTGGTGTTGGAAGAGTACGAAGTGGAGGTAGTTGCCGAAGATGAAGAGTATGAGGACAAATACCTGGAGGCGATCTCCTTGGTGCGCGGCCGCCGAGATAAGTCCGCATTGTCCCTCTCGGAGAGGGTTAGGGGTCGCCGTGACGAAATTGCCGGAGGATCGATGATGTAGTTGGAATCGACGTCGAGTTGTGGTTCTGCTCGGTCCACGGGTATGAGAGCATCATTGAGCTGGATTGAGGAAAAGCAGAGGGGAAGCTCTGTCTGTGCGGCCAGCAATGGCGGATTGGGTTGAATGCCGGGTATGGGAATGTCCTCAGGCGGATCTGCCAGTTTGGGTGAACTAAAGCAAGTGTAGGTTCTCGGATCGCCACTTGAGCGATGGTTTGAATCAACGGCGGTGGTGGAAATGGACGAAAATGGAGGTTCGGGAATACGAATCTGGCAATGAAACGGAGGAGGGTCGCGCCATCGCAGCGGGAGCTCGAGCGGAGGGTCATCGTCAACGATGCTGGGAGAATTGCGGGACTGATGGCGTTTGCGAGGAGCAGACAAGGAGAGCGAAGAAGATGAATGCCTCGGTATGGTTGCCGACGACATTCTCATCTTCCTTATTGCCCGAAGGTTTTCTCTAATCCGATCGAGGTTTTTGTTTACCCGATCGAGAGATTCATTCGATTGAGCTTGGTAGAAGGCGATCCGGCTTCGAGCATCGTCGACAGCCCACCTTCCTTGGCGTCGATCGTCGTCGACCGCCAATCTTATTCTGCGGCTTCGATCGTCGTCGACAAGCGACCTTATTCCGCAGTCCATCGATCTTCACAAGCTCCAGGCTCTGATACCAACTGATGTAGTGGATTGTCGGAAGACTCGACTTGCAAGAAGGATTTCGGTTTTCCCAATCCAGGGAAGAAAAAGAAGAAAGCTTCAAAAGCTTCAAAGAGTATATTATATCATTCAATGAGCTTTCCCTACTACAATGCATACCTACAATGCATACATATATAACCCATCTATAGAATATTCTAGAGAAACTTGTAACAAACTAGATAAGCTATTTCTAAGGAGGACTATTAGCTATAATGTTCAACATCAATAATTAATAATTGTTGAAATAAATTCCTTCCTAAATCAGATGTCTAGTTATGGAAGGTACTCAATGTATTTCTAGAAGGCTTCCCACGGATCTATCTTTGTAGTCATTGGATCTATGAGGGAGCTGAGGGTTGAGATTTAACACTATCAATTAAATTGAATATGTTGAAGGATTTGAGACAAAGATGGAGGTACCATGCTAAAGCTTTCCCTTCCAAGCACATCCCGACTAATCAGCTCTCCCCATCCGTCAACTTGTTGACGGTAAAGTAACTTTTCACCTTGTAGATCCACCATGGGCATCCTCTCTCTAAAAAATAAGCATCTTCAGCTTCCTCACCCTCAGATCGCCTCCGCTCCCTCTGTTCCCTTCATAACTTCCCCTTCCCCAAGGGGGTGGTTCCCCCCAAGTGTCCCAATCATTCCAGCCTTTCATCAAACTCCTATATTCTCCTCTCAAATTCAGCACCCCTTGAATAATAACAAACACCTTCCCTTTCAAATTCAGCCCCCCTTTGGTCATAAATACACATTTCTCTTTCCAATCTCACCCCTCTCCTATCTAAATCAGCACATCTTCATTCTTGCCCTACTTCCTCATGCCTTTCCTCATACCCTTTTCCTGGCTCCTCCCTAGGAGTAGGCTCTAGGAGAGGTATTCTTTCTTCTCCCTTTCGAGTCACCACCTCATGATCTTCCCTTTAACTTGTTGGATTAGAGTTTTCCTCGCTTTCTGGTTTGCTGGAGGCTTCTCTCTCCTTTGACGACACCATTTTGGATTGGCTCTCGAGCAACTTCTTCAACATCTCCCCAGTCTAGAAAATTTTCATCCATCTTCTCGTGGATGGCTGAAATTTGACTTTTGACACCTGAAAGTTGAGCGTGGAGATATGAAATTTCAGTTTTCAAATGTTCGATTTCCCCTTCCAGGCGTTCCTCCAACACATCCATTTTTTGGCCACCATCGATATCCTGATCTTTGTTGGACTAAAAAATCTGAATCTCGATTCCAAAAACAGCAAAACAGCCCCCTTTTGATTAAAATTCAGCCCCTATTTTGATGTGAAACGTAAATGCCATATACTTGCCTAGGTGGCAAGATTAATTAAAGCCCAAATCAATTTGGGGAGAGAGAATCGAAATCTGAAATTAAGGAGTAATTAAAGCTAATTCAAATTCAAAATTTGAATTTGAATTGTCATTAATTGGGAGGATTAAATGATTAATTGATTTAAATCTGAAATTAAATTTCAGATTTAAATTAATGGTTATTGGCTTAATTGGAGGGACGAATTTAAGGAGTAATTAATGCTAATTCGATTCAAATTTTGAATTTGAATTGTCATTAATTGTGAGGATTAAATGATTAATTGATTTAAATCCGAAATTAAATTTCAGATTTAAATTAATGGTTATTGGCTTAATTGGAGGGACTAATTTAAGGAGTAATTAATGGTAATTCAAATTCAAAAATTAATTGTGAGCCTCTCCTAATTAAGAAATTTCTTTATTCCAAGGAGGAAGAGAGGGGGAGGTGGGGGTTGGTGGGCGTCGACCTAAGGGATGGCCGGCGGGTGAATTTCTGGACGGGCCGGCGGCAAGGAGAACTTGGGGAGGAAAAGCCCGAGCTTGGTAGAGGATGAGAAGTTTGGGGAAATCTTGGAATTTCTAACCTCACGCTCTTAAACTTCAAGATCTCAAAGGAGATTGTAGGAATGTCAGAACTCACACAGAGATCCACGAAACTCTCCTCAAGAACTCACGAAGAGATCTTGAGAATCTCAGAACTCACAAAGAGATCCGCGAAACTCTCCTCAAGAACTCACATAGAGATCTTGAGAATCTTGGAACTCACAAAGAGATCCGCGAAACTCTCCTCAAGAATTCACAAAGAGATCTTGGGAAAGTCGGAACTCACAAAGAGATCCTTCTGAACTCACTAAGAGATCAACACGAAAATAAAATTTTCCATTATCAATAATCCATCCTCCAAATACAAGAGAAGGGGCCTCTATATATAGGCCTCAAGAGAAATTAAAAGACACATTCGCCCCTTGGGCTTACATAAAACAAGAGGGTAAAATGAGAAATTGCAAAACTAAATTAAAATACACTTAATAAACGAAAATAAAGCAAAGTGATCTCGGTCATCGATCTTCAGCTCCTCGGATTGGCATGGACGGTTGGATGTCCGCATCATATTTTCTCTGAAAACTCCCCCAAACAGTCCCAAAATCTGCTTTGATACCAATTTGATAGAAAACACTTGTAGATCTCAAGTATTTACTATCAATCTTCGGAAAACAGCGAGAATTCTTCAAAAAAATAAGCACAAACCTCGAAAACAGTAGATAATTTGTATGATTTGATGAAAAGGAAATGAAAAATAGCAAGATACAATTGATCCTCTATTCGAGGAGGATCGATCTCTCCCAAATCTCTAGACGCTGCTAAAGCCCAAAAGATAACCTAAATCTAAGAGAGATCAAATTTGAGCCAAATTCAAGATACCCTAATCCTAGGAAAACAAACTATTTAAAGTATCAATTCAAAAGGAAATCCCTAAACAGTCCTTACATTCAAATGTTTCTCCCAAATCCCTCAAAAATCCTTCCTAAAATGCTTCGTTGGCTTTGGCGGCTCGGTCGCTCATACAGGAAGAGACGGAACCCTTCCGCTTGAGCCGGTCCCGCGTGGACCGGCTGGACCGGTCCAACGCTCTCTTTTTTTAAATTTACGTCTGAAGTAAAATAAATCGCAGCTCCGATCGCACAAGTTACAAGACCAATCGGACTACAAGAATGTGAACTTTCTTTTCTACTTAAAACTAAATTCTGCTATGCATAATCATTACCAACTATTCTAATTTCTAAGTTCACTTCATAAGAGCCTCCACTGCTTAAACATGCCAATCAATCGCACTTCAAATAATTCTATCGAGATCTAATGTTTTCCTTGTCGTCCATTTTTTTTATAGGACTTCTCATACAAGCGAGGTGACTGGCTCGTATTTGGATCTGAAACTTGTGGACTTCCACCTGAAACCTTACTTGACTGCAGCAGCGAAGGGATGGGCGGAGGCACCATTCGCATTCCAATGGTTGACACCTACGTTCGATGTCTTAACCTCTCTGTTAGTGTTGGGATTTCTTTATATGAAGCAGCCAGACAGCTAAATTATGAACAATTTCAGTTCCCTTCCGACGCTGCAAGTGAAAGCCAAAGACTATTTATGACAGAAGATATATTTGGTTAGCTTCGAAGCACAGGAAAGTATTATTTGATGGTTACCAGTGTAAACCTGCTTGGAAATCACAGCTGATGTGAAAATATCATTTATTCGAGTATTATTTTTCCTTAAGGCCACCTCGTCTTCCAACTTTTCCTGGTTTAGTTTCATTAGTTCATAGCATTTTTGTAATTGTTATCCTCTGTGAACTACATCTGAAGATCTGAGTTGCTCAAAACTTGCACTTTTTCTGTTAGAAATCCAATTCTGTTTTATGTATGAATAATCAAATTCAAATACATATTGTTATTACTTGATCAGCCTAAACTATAATCATTTTTTAATTTTGAATTGCATCTGTTTGTAGTAATTAGATCAATTTAGACGATAACCAAATTCAGCACCGGGTGAGGTCCGGATTCCGCACAGAATAATTTGTTCTAATATTTGTAGTAACAACATTGTTCACCGGGTGAGGTCCGGATTCCGCACAGAATAATTTGTCCTAATATTTGCAGTAACAACATTGACTTGCCTGAACTATCGAGAGTGATGGAATACCTTTGATGGGATCAATTTCTCAATGCTACATAACTCATCTTGATCAGATGTATGGGAGTTTAATCAGATCAATAGACCATTCAGTAAGTATGAGTATCTTAATGATTTCCTAATTGATCGAGCTACTCATTGGATTATAAGAATATAAGATTTAAAAATTACTGCCATTGAATTAATATTTTAAAGTTTTTAATGATGTTTAAATATTTGTTTTAGGTTCAATTCGTAATTAAATTTATTGAAATAAATATTTGCATATATTAATTTAATTCTAGAAGTTTTAATATAAATTTTTAATACAAAATAATGTATAGAGATTCATTCCATTCAAACAAAATTTCTGGGGATCCCATCAACGCTATAATTAACTAAAAGTGGGCTCCCATCAACGCTATAATTAACTAAAAGTTTTTTTTTAATAAATTTAAATGTAACCTAATTTGCCATTTTAGATGGCATGCTTCATCTTCCTCAACCTAGCCATGCATTTATATTAGAAAAAAAAAAAAAAAAAAAACTAACCATACATTTATGGGCCAGTCTTTTCCTGCAGGATAACTAAAAGAAGCCCAAAAGCCTGCCTACCGTCACCCTGTTAGGCAAAGTGAAAAATCCTTCAAATTTCTGAGCCGCCCCCTCTGATTTCAGCCGCATCCAAATCTCAAGTCCAAGCCCCTTCAGGGTTGGATGCCCGATTAATAAGTTTCAGCTTTAAAGTGGAGAATCCCATGGCCTGGGAGCTGCTTCTATGGATAGTCTCCTTCGTCATCGTCATTGCTCTTATTGCTGTTGACGCTTATCAGGTACTCCCTTCAAGCCCTAATCCTAAATGAAAAAAAAAACAGTAAAACTTTGAAAGACATTCCAATCTGAGCTTTGCTAGTTCTGATGTCACTCTTCTCTTGTGATATTCTAATCTTTATGGCTTTTATTTGCGTATGGTGTTCTGTTTCAACCCGTGTTCTGACTGAATTTGTTTTAGTTTTTCGGGAAATTTGGTGCCGCTTGTTCTCATGAATTCTTTTCTTTGTGAGGTTTTATGTGCATATATTACGTTTCCTGTGCTAAATGTAGCTTTTAACGACTTCATATTACTTTTAGTTTGACCTGTATTATTTAGGTTTAAGCGTTTTGTTTGATTATCAGCGTCGATTATCATAAAATTATTTTGATATATATTTTTTTTCATTCCCCCACTGATCAGATAAACGACGCATTTTTTTATGCATTGGCTGCTAAATGGAAAAGTGTTCAAATTTTCTATTTAACCTGTTAATACTGCTTGGTGACAATGTTTGGGCTGTTGGTTCATAATATTGGACAATATCACCGTTGCATATATCTCTTCTCCCCCCACTTCAACCTACACATATCCATTACTTGATTGCGGCTCTTGTAAGTTGATCTAAGTTATTCTCTTTTCATGTCACACGTCCGGACTCCAATAAAAATGTGACATGTGTCCTTGTACACAATGTGTATAAATTTGTACACACTATGTACAACTGTGTACACAGTGTGTATATTATGTATATAAGTTTGTACATACTATCTAGATAATTTTATAATTTGTATATAGTATACAGTTGTACATGTTGTGTACAAAAACATGTGTCTTGTTTTTATTGGAGTGCGGACATAACCTCCGCATGTAATAATTTGATTAATTTCTCCATATACTGTTGTCATTTATATAGAGCACTGGGCGTGATATTCCATAACCTACTTTTTGGATACGACAGTTGAGTGCTTCCTGTTTATCATTTTTTTTAAAGAAAATTATAAAGCCGATATCCTATAATAGAGTACATCTGGTTGATTAATCACAGACTTGCTGTTTTATGTAATTTGTTTATTGAGTTTATTTTCAAGTATTCTAGAATTGAGATCGATAGGTAATAAGCCCAAATATTACATCAATTTGTTAGTGTTGCAATTACATACCATTTGATGACTTGAGCTTGTTCATCCATGCTTCCATGGTATTGAGAGATAAAAAATTTGCAATTTATATTTTTCATTTTTTTTCTCTTTTTAGAGCATTTATGGAAGACATACAGTTTTCTTTCTCCTTTCTCTGTTGATGTCAATGTTTGACGTTTGATCCTGTTATAAAGTTTTAATACAGAAGTGGAACTATGGGTTTCCTTCATATTAGCTTATTGTTAGTTTCAGTAACTTTTATCTATTTTTTGTAACATTGCCAGCTGATTTGCTTATCTGATTTGGAATGTGACTACATCAACCCGTACGACTCTTCATCTCGTGTCAATGCTGTTGTTGTCCCTGAATTTATAGTTCAGGGATTTCTAAGCAGTCTTTTCCTCATGACATGGCAATTGATCCCATTTATCATAATGGCACCCATAACTTACTATCACGTGCAAATGTATGTATTTTCTCTAAACTATGTACTTTATTATTTCTTGCATGTTTATTAATTACTAGTATTTTTTGTACATTTCAATTTGTGTGTTCATTTGCAATCAAATATTTGTGTACTAAGTATGCATGTATGTCCCATTATACTTATTGGTTGATATTTGAATAAAATCTGAAAATATCATCCTGAAATTCTTTTTGAATTTGCTATTTTCATTCTCATGACGCTTAAACTACTTCCTGTGGCCAGGTAAAAGAAGTTTAATGGGAAAATTGAAATTTTGTACTGTAGTTGTGGGACACTATCTTCATTTAAACATTGATGCCGGAGTATGTCATCTTGTGTAATTTTCCTAATTGTTTTTAGACATTATAAATTTATAATAAGAAGAAATCTTGCTTAACCTAACCAGTAAGTGACGCATATCATCAATTCTTAGCAAAGAATCTTCTATTCTGCCTATTAGGCACCATTAATCATCCTAGCAATGTTAGTTTTTTTTTTTTTTTTTGGTAATAAAAACCCTCGGAGGGGTCTACGCGTTAAATAAAAAGCAAATTACAGAATAACAAAGGAAAACACCAGCTAGAGAAGAGTGCAAAACCAATAGGACAACCTAGGAGCCAATGCTCACCTCTACCAACAATTACAAAATTCCTTAATAATAATCTACTGATGCTATAGACAAGCATCCAAAAATGAAAGATCAAAGTGTAGCCCAAGAAATACAGTCTTTCAGTCCAAAAAGAAGCCATGGCCGATTGTCATACACTGCAAAAAAGAGAGACAACAAATAAGAGACTATGCCAAAACAGAGTATTAGCAAAATAAATATAAGCAAAATAATGAAAGAAAACGTAGTAGAAATAAAAGTTCCAATTGAGATCCATCTCCAAAGACAGGATAAAAAAGATCAGAAAACACACAATCCAATCCTTTGAAGCAATCCAGCAATTACACCAACCACTAACTGACAAGATAAAATCGGACAGCAGCCTATAGATAGCATCAAGAAAAACACTCTTAAAAACAATAAAGCCAAACTTAGGAAGGTTACTATAAGAGCTCAGCATGTAAATAGAAAAATGAGCTTCATTAGGAATATCCAAATGCCGCTCAATCCTACCCAGCGTGCCAGCCACAATCACCGAACAGAACCTCCAGCAAAACCCAGCAAAACCAAAATCACAATGCCTGATTAACAGAGCAGTAACCACATCACACTGACCAACCAACCCCCACACAAAAGGAAGAAAGCCCAGCTCCCAAATAGCAGCCATGAGCAAAACGGTTATAACCAACAAAGCAGAGAAACGTAAATACTTCCAGATAGTTATATTATCAGTGCAAAAACCAAAAGACCTGAAGCAAATAAACAGCCAACCAGTATTATCAACAAACCACATCAGAGCCCCCTTATTCCTCCAAACACCCCAATAGGTAGGAGAGCAACAAAAGGACAGACCTTCAGCAGTAAATCCAACAAAATCATTGCTCCAGTAACCCGCCTCACAAACATAACACCCAGAAAAATTAACAAAATTGAAATAATCACAATAAAACCCAAACCACATAGGAACCATAAAAAAGTCAAGGATCACAAGAGCCGCAGCCAAATATAAAACACCCAAACAACAACCCCCAAGAGCAAAGACAGGAGCAAAACAAATGTTAAAAGCTGATATAAGGACAACCAATAGCATCCAATTTAACATCCCAGCCACCGGATCTGGAATATTAGAGTGAATAACATCAATAAATCCCCTTAGACTACAACCCCAATGGGCCAACCAAGAGGCACAAGAGTTACCAGCTTCAGTGACGTCGCTGAAAGACAGGTTTAAAAGCAACATCAGATTATTAATATCCCTAACAAGATAGAAGTAATTAGGACTACAACGCACATCCTCCAGAAGAGACATAATGTTAATGCCAGAACTAACTTCAATGATCACATTAGAAATATTAAGAGAAATGCAAAGTTTAATACCATATAAAATGGAGTTAAGAAGAGCAGAAACCTCATTACCATTCAGATCAGGGCCCGCAAAAGCCATGAAAAGGTGACCATTCCAGTCTCTTATAATACCACCACAACCATTACCAATCTCAGTGCTAGCACCCACAACATTAAGTTTAAAAGAATTAACCCAGGGTTTGTTCCAATAAACCACAGTAGGAGGAGAACGAACACCCTCCCAATTAATCCCAAGAGAATAACCAACATCGTAATAATTTTTAAAATTCTTTCTAGTGATCAGTTTAACGACCACAAGAGCAAGGATCTTGTCTTTCACCCTTTGGATAACGAAATGATTCATCTTAACATCATTAAAAATAGAATTATTTCTTTCCAGCCAAAGGAACCACAAAATAAGGGAAGGAATAATATTGCGAATGTGACCTTTAGTATCACTCACCCAAGAATTTAGAATGGCATTAAGAGATAAATGAGCATTAAAAGTATTTAAATTAAACATATCATCAAAATGAGTACAAGTTCTAACAGCCACAGGGCCAGAAACAAAAATATGATGCATCGATTCAGTGTGATAACAGCATTGACATTTAGAAGCTAGACTAAAACATTTTTTAATAAGATTATCATCTGTAGGGATGAATTTGTGGAGTACCCTCCACACAAAAATAGAAACACTGGCAGGAATAGAATTATGCCAGATTTTAGATAAAATTCTATCAATGTTACCTTTCTCTCTAAAAGAATGTCAAGCACACTTTAAATTGAATTTACCATTTTTGGAAAAATCACTAAGCATGAAATCATTGGAGGTAGTGTTAATGGGCAAGTTAGAAATACGATGACAGATGCTATCAGGAATTGTATTAGATAATTTATCATAGTCCCAACCATTATCAGAAAAGAAAAAATTAACTTTCACAGTATTAGTAGAGATAGAATTTAACAGCGTATCAATAGAGTCTTTACCAAGTCATCTATCTTGCCAGAATAAAATGTTACCATCACCAAGGCCCCAAAAAATAAAAGGTTTCACCTCCCATTTAATCTTATAAAGCCTTTTCCAAACTTTAGAATCCCCAGTTTTAGTAGTAGTAGGATGCTTACCACCACAGTATTTAGCAATCATAAACTTGGCCCAAAGATTCTTTTTAGCACGTAAATTATACCAAAGTTTATAGGAAAAACCCTTAGCAAGGTCATAAAGATTTTTGCACCCAAAACCGCCTTCCTCTTGCACACCACAACACTTATCCCAGGCAGCCCAAATAATTTTAGAAGAGGAAGAAGTAGCTTTCCAGAAGAACTTGCTAAAAATTTTATGAATCCTACTACAAACCTCTTGAGTAGGGAAGATAGTTTGAAACATGTAAATAGGTAAAGCACAAAGAACACTTTTTATAAGAGTCAATCTACCACCAAAACTGAAAAAATTAGAGTCCCACGAGTTCAGCTTATTCTGAATAGAAGTAATAAGATCATTAAACAAAAAAGAATGCCTTCTACCTTTAAACAGAGGGACACCAAGATATTTGATGGGGAGCTTAGCATGAGTAAAACCAGTAGCATTGTGAAAGGCTAAAATGCGAGCATTGTTAATCCTTTTAGAAGTAATAAAACGATATTTCTTCTTACTCAAAGAAAGGCCACTATTCCTTTCAAAAATATGAAAGAAATCCATAATCTTATGAATCATATTAATAGTAGCATTAGTGAAAACCACAAAGTCATCAGCAAAACACAGATGAGAAATATGAAAACCACCCAAAGTACGAAAGTACATACCAGGGTTATTTTCAAATAAATTAGAGAGCCCCCTAGAAAGAAACTCGGCAGCAATAATAAACAAAGCAGGCGAGATAGGATCACCTTGCCTTAAACCATGAGAAGACTTAAAGAAACCATGTTTAGCGCCATTTAAAACAATAGAGAAATACACATTCTCAACACAGTTCTTAATAAGGTTAATGACCACAGAATTAAAACCAAAAAACTCAAGGATGCAGTAAAGAAAAGACCAATCAATATTATCATAGGCTTTAGCAATATCAAGTTTCAGGATTACATTACCACCTCTAATCTTAACATCCAGATCTTGACATAATTCTTGAGCTAAAAGGATATTCTCAGTAATAGCCATACCTTTAACAAACCCCATCTGATAGGGAGAAACAATTTTAGGAAGAAGCAAAGCAAGATGATTAGACAAAATTTTAGAAACTAGTTTATTAAAGAAAGTACATAAACTAATAGGCCTAAAATCATTCCAAGTTTGGAAAGAGTTATTTTTAGGAATCATAATTAAAGAAGTAGACTTAAAAAATTTAGGGATAGGATTTCCCATAAAAAAATCCAAAACAGCAACAAAGATATCATTACCAATAATATTTCAACATTTTTGAAAAAACAAAGTAGTGAAACCATCAGAACCAGCGACAGAATTACTATTCATTCCCATTAAGGATTCTTGAACCTCCTCAAGAGAAGGGGGTCTAAAAATAATAACATTATCTTGCCTCATCCAAGCTGATTTCGTGAGTCTACCTGTTTGTATATTTTGTGATTTCTATTTGAAGTTCTTAGCTTTGCAAGTTTTTCCAGGGAAGGCTGATATTCTTAAATCTTGTTTAGGTTTTGGAAGAAGAAACATCTTTTAGATGTCACTGAGATCTTTAGACAGATAGAAGGGCAAAAGAAATACAGGATGGTTAAGCTTGCTTTCTACTTCACTATGTTCATCTTGGTGATTTACAGGTCTAGTAATGCTCTTTGCATCATTAACATTTTCCATTTCATCATTAATCTGAATATAATATGGTCAATCAATATCCTGCACTCTTTAAGTATATATCATTTATTATTCTAACCGCCATTTGCTTACACTGCAAGCTTGCTATAATTCGCGAAAGGATTGTGAATTTAGTACTGAAACTTTTGACCAAGTGATGTAAATTCTGATTTTTCGGTCTGAATTTGTTGATTTAGTCATGTTAAAGAAGGGAATAGTGTAATTTTTCTGTTTTATGCAACTTGCGCTATCCATAACTTCCATCACAATTTCTTTTCATTAATGCACTTGCTCATATGATTGTTATCTTTCACCTAATATTTGATTTTTAAGTGGATGCATTTGTTATTTATTTTTCTTGTAAGTTTATTTGTATCACTAAATTTGCGATTAGTCGAATGCTTCATTAAATCATTGATACTAATCTTATTCCGACTTTTTTGTGCCGAGTTTTGGAATGCTTGTTTATCATTCATTCTTGTTGAGTGCTATATGTTGTGTTTAACAAATTTTGTGCAAGCTATTTTTACAAGGTTTTGATCCATATCACCTTTCTACCCATTTTCTTTTTTAATTCCTTCACACAAAACCTTATTGTTGATGCACCTTTCACTCTCCTTACACATCCTCAAACCTTCTAAGGGCTTATTTCGTTACTTGTAAATATAGAACATAATTTAGAAAATGACTATTTTGTTTCCAATCATTTTTTATGTCAAAATGAAATCATTTCATTAGAGAGATTTTTAATGTGCTTGTGGTATGAAATTAATATTGAATTTGAAACACATCCAACCAGACGAAAAATTGACTGGTTTACAAAATAGTGGCAGAGTTAGAAATTTTGTAAGTTTGAGGCACAAATTAGATTTTTTTAATATTTCCTCAAATTTTTCATTCATGCTTGAGTCTGGCATTAATAGATTTAAAAAATATTCTATCTAAACTTGTTATTTTAAAAAGATAAAATATCGGATAATAAAAATTACAGTTTATAACTCATACTTTTCATATTCTAAAAAAGTTAAATGATTACTTTTTTTATCAATGCAATCAAATATATATTTTTCAATATAAATTATTAAAATATCATTCATCTATTAATTTCTAATTTTATTATATATTTGAATTTTTATAATAGTCATAGTAGAAACGCTATTTCAACTTATTTTAGATGCATTAATCTTAAAATTAATTTAAAAATTTAAATTTATCATTATAAAATTTTGATTATAATATCCAAACTTAATTTATTTTCATATAAAAATTAGAGCTTTAAGGGGATGAATAAAAGAATAAAGGTAATTAAATATATTTTTATTTTAATAAAATTTTTAATAATAATATAACAGAATTATACTTTTTTTTTGGGTGGGCACAGCCTTTCCTAGCTCCGCCCATGAGTCAAAACAAAATGATATGGATTTAACCTTGATTATTGATATAGTTCTTGGATGTAGCGTGAGCCAGGTTCAAAATTAATCAATATTTACGGTCTGTGCTGAATTGATTACATTTGCAGGAGATTGCTCACTGAATTTCTATAATTTTTTTCAGGCTTGTGGTCTGTGCTGTTACCTTAATTATTGATGAAGATGATAGCCCACTGGTTTCTGGGGTTTATTAGGACCTCATACGGAATTCCAGGTACTTCTTTTGGTAATCTTCAAACAGTTGAGATTTGAACGTCTACTATTCAAGATTTTGTATTTCTTAGAGCTTTATTTTTTTGGTTACCTTCGAATTGCTTCTTAAAACTATTTAAAAAGCAACAAAAAAGTCGTCCCAAATGAAGCATAAATATGTGATGCTGGTGGTTTATAAAAACTCTTTGTTTCATGGCTCCAATGTTGTAAAGGACTTTGTGTGAGGAGAGATTTTTTTTTTTTTTTTTTTTTTTTTTTTTTTTTTTTTTTTTTTTTTTAAATTGGGATGCTCAATATACACTTCTAATATGTTTTATGTTATATTTTGCAATTTTATTTTTTTCCGGAAAATATTGCTTGTCATTGGATGTAATTTCCATTTTCAGAAACCTGGTTTGCGGGAAACTTTGGAGCTTTTTCAATCTTCATCGGGTCATTCATCAATGTTTATTGAAGATTTAGTTTATTTTCCAGGAAGCGAAGTTGTTCTCTTGTTCCTATCAGTTGGGTAGATTTGTATAGATTATTAGATTGGTTGAGCAGTCTTGGAAACTTGGGATTGTTGTGGCATATGTGGATCAATGTACACAGCAAACGCAGTCATGATTTGAATGTTTTATTTTGGTCGTTTTCTTTTCCTGAATGTGAGACCTGCAATCGATTATTTTTTTGAACTGTTTAGATATTTCCTGCTTAAATTATGAGTTGATACTGCTAGTCTTAATTTTACGACCAAATTATAAAAAGGACCAAGTTTAATAGCTAAATACACATGAGAATTATGAACAAGAAAAATTTAAAAAAAGAGCGAAATCATACTACAAAATTCAGTTTTAAAAAATCGGAGCATAATTATTCAGTTTCTATAGAAATTTATTATTTTAATAATATAAATTTTATAATTTAAATATTGAAATTCGGTTAATATAATTTTATAATTTAAATTGTATAGTAATTGTTATGTTTAAATCATATAATTAAAAAAAATATTAATTATAAAAATTTTTAGAATTTAGTTAATTATATATGAATTATATATATAATTTTAAAATAAAAAATTTGCAAACTTTTATGAATTTAAGTTAGAATTTAAAATCTTTAAATAATGCAGAAAAAAATCATACTTGAGCAATATTTCTGGCATTCATCATTGGTATGTGTGCTTTATAGCTTACAGCTTACTTTATCCGATGAACCAAATTCTCAATAGTTTAATGATACAAATCACCCGGTTAGCTTAGCTCATATGAGTGTAAATAATTTTTTGGCTAGAATTCAGATAATTTAAGCATTTCGTAACGAGTTGACTCATCAGACTATCAAATTTGACAAACTTAGCATAATCTGTAGATGAAACCAACCTCAGCAAAACTGAAACTGATAGTTATAATAAATAGCAACACATCTCATCTTGATATGTTGGTTGGGAGATTAGACTATCAACTAAAAGATCTTGAATTCGAGTCTTGATATGCGATATGTGTATGAGTTTCTTTTTTTTTTTTTAATGTGTATAAGTTTGACTTAATTGACCAAATTATATATATATAAAAAAAACAAATATACAATAGTAAAATGTCAAAGCAGTGAAAAACCAAGTATTAAAGTTTACCGCAAGAAAGTTTACATGTCATCAAATACCAGCTAAATGAAAGCATAATTCAAAATAAATATCTCAAACATGCTTGAATCAAGGAACATATAGCAATACAAAATGAATGAACAGTGCAGATAAGCTCCATTCAAAATTGAAATCAATCTGCTTCATCAATTACCTTCGTTCCAAGGCCCTTGAGACCCTCAGGAGGGACCTCAGCAACTGTCACAAGAGAGTAGAATTCCTCCTTGGCATCTTCTTCCTCATTCCTCTTGCGGGCAATCCTCACACGAACTCGCCTGGGGACGCTGCGGATACCTCTGCTCCATATTTGCTTATTCACCTTTACATCGATTCTGATATCGGTTGTCCTCATTGCCTTCTGTGCAAATTTCCTGATCTCCTTTATAGCCTTGGGGGCTTTTTTCTTGAAAGTGCTGCTCAATGATAAATCATATTCAATTTAATATCACAATTACAACATGTTCCAAAATGCTACATGTATTACATTCAATTTAATAAATGATAATCATGGGAATAACATTGATAATACTTAGGATAACCAAAAACTGCTCTCAGACCATGCTGATGTCAGGCATATGCAACATCTTAAGGTTTCATTTGAAAAAATTTTGTGCTTAAAAAAACATTAAGAAAGCTATTCCGAACGAAGCCTAAGACTTCTAAAGTTGAGCTCTACAATTGAATCACCACAATTGAGTTAAAAATATACTACATTTGAATTTTTGTAAACCAGAAATAAGCCAATTGAAATTGATTACGAATTATATTTAAAATTACAAATCTTATATCTAATTTTTATCACATTGAAGTTCTTAGATTAATTCATGTGAAATATATATATATGCTTTACCTATCAATCAATTAAAAAAAATCAAACCTAGTTAGACTATTTAATTGTAATCCATATAAACAACTAAAATATAGGCTAATTTAGAATCAAATCAAACCATTGCACACCCCAATCCAAACCTATCAAGTCATGTAGGTGGATCTTTTTTATAACTTTGTCGTCTCAAGTTCATAAGACAGTTCAAATTTGAGAAAACTTCAAAATAAGCATATAAATTCCCATTTCAATTTAAAAAAATGACCAAACATACCGAGAACCAGCACAATTTCTGTGTGAGGCAGTTAATTGAAATTAATAATACAAATAAATTAAATTTTTTTCCTTTTTTTATATTAACAATTCAAAGAAACAAATAACTAAATTACGCTCTTATTACAATTAACTTCATAAATGATGTGCTAAGTAGTTTTAAAGTGACAGGGGAGTTAGTATTGAAAGTCCAAGCTCTCAATCATTTCCTCAAGTGATAAAAGAACAATGTTTTATCTGAAGTTTTTCCCTATCATTAAAGTAGAATTCTACTTGCGACTTAAAAAATAGAGGCAAAAATTAATTAAAAAAAAAGAATAAAAGAAAAAAGAATGAAAAAATAAAAGATATGAATAAGCTAGATTGACATAAAATACATGATTATTGTCCACTTAAAATTAGAAGGGTCTGATCACACATCTTATGCCTTAATCTGGGCTTCTTATTTGAGTCAAGCCAGATTGAAGATTTTCATTGAAATTTTATCAAACATTGACATTTTAGATGGGGTGAGTAAATTGGCTAAGCATTTCCATGATCCAATGCTTAGGGATAACCAAGTATCAATTAGGTGCTAAATGTAAACTACCAAATACAAGTTTTTAATAATTTTCTTCTCATCAAAATTTGAAAAACAAAAAACAAATTATATTTTTTTCTTGAAACTAAGGATGAAATTCATTAAAGTTTCATCCAATTCTAGTACAGAAGCATAATGCAAACAACTTTGAAATGTTTACTAAAGATGACCTGTCTTAAGCAATATCGGCCAATATAAGTAGCAATATGCAAATCCCCATAGGTTGATGAATTTGATGTCTCATTATGGAGGTACGCACGATTGCTAAGTTGAGAAAGCCATGGTCCCATGTAGAATAATGGGCCACCGTGATTCCAAACAAGCCTTCACATGTTATGGATTGATTTCAGGAGGATACAGAGCCTTAGCTTAAAAAAAAACCTTAGGCGGGTTTTGTACTTTATCAACCTATAAATTTAATTAAATAATTTTGGAGAACCTTCCAATCAATGATCTTTTGCAAAGAAATACAATAACATATTTCTTGAGTACCTCATAATCCAAATATACAGCATTTCCAATATAATGCATAAAATGACTAGAAAATAAATCCATATTTTAAAATAAAGCTTAAATGTGGTGTACTCCTATGCAATAGCTGTTATCATTTATTAGATAATATTCATGTACTATTAGTAAGAAAAGAATGGTTGAGCAATTGGCTTATGAATGTATAAAGTTGACATATTTTTTTTGTTCAAATCCCACCTAAAACAAAAGTTCTTCATTCAAAATAAATCCCAAAATTCACCCATAGCCTGCTGACCTACGAAGGCTTATAAAAACCAACCATTTTCTTAATCAATGACCCATGCCATCCATCAAGCTCAGGTCATCAATTGGTCATAATAGGTGTGGTGCTACTACACTTTAGGCTCATCTACATGTGACCTGCACTTTAGATTTGATGATCCTTGATGAACTACGCGAATCTCCAATCAAAAACTTGGTTCCCTCCAGTATTGCAAAAAGGTCACCCATTATTAGCAAGTGCTTATATGACCTAGAACCATAAATAACTCAATATTTTGGCTTGACATTAAGGCTTCATTTGGGACGCCTTTCTTATTTCTTCTTAAAGCAACTTTTTAGTACAAAAATTAATTTTTTTTAATAGAGAGCTGCTTTAAGATGTGTCAAGAAAGCCATCCCAAATGAAGCTTAAATCATATGGAGATAAATTTGATACAGCACATGTGAAAGATATTGTTTAGGTCAAAAACTGAAAATTTTAAAATGCTACCTCCTAATGGTACATAATCCTCTCAAAGTGCATACAAAAAAAAAAGATAATCAATCTGTTAGTTTTCTTTTATTAAAAATCGAATCAAAAGCGATGTCTCATACCCATTCAACAGCCCTGTAAATACAATACCATCGATCACTTTTGTACAGCATTCACCCTGCTAGCTACAAGTTCTACTACTGCAATCAATTAGGATTTCATATCGTGCTGAGGAATCAATTCCTATGAACACACCTCTACCGTCCCACCATAACAGGACTTGGTTGGTTAAGCACAGTGAGTGAAACTGTTACATTGCCCAGAATAGAAAACAGCAATCGCCTATTATTAGTGTTCATCGTTAAGAAGTTAAACATAAAACTTCCAATGTGACCATATCTCATCCATAACTAAGCAAGGATTCGTTCTTCTTTAATTTCCAGGTACAAATAGATAAGCAATGTAAAAAAAAAAAAAAAAGAAAGGCGAGGGCTCCAGGTGGTTCCTTGATAGCAGAAAAACAATTAAAAAGGGTTAACAAGAGCAAACTTCAAATGATTCAAAAAAAAAAAAAATGAACGAAACATGATCTAGTAATAGAGATTGTTAAGGAAATAGTGGAGGTTGATGGCGAGAAAGAGATGAAGTTCGATGATAGTGGTCAATTAATGCTAGTAAAGTGATAATGGTCAGACAATGAAAGTTGAACGATAGTGATAGTTGACGGTGTTTGTTGGTATCAAATATCAAAAAATATTCTAGAGTTATTTAGATGTACAAGCTCTCTTTTGTGTGAAGAATAGAAGTTCATTTATTATTTTTAATGGTGGCACTTGATAGATTGATTTTGATAAATTTCAAAACATTTTATTGAATGACTCATATTAATATTTAAATGCCTTAATGACTTTTAATTAAGTGATCTTTGTTCAAATACCACCTAAACTCAAAAGTTTTTCATTCAAAATAAATCCAAGAATTCACTCATAGCCCGCCGACCTACAAAGGCTCATAAAAATCAACCATTTTCTTAATCAATGACCCATGCCACCCCACAAGCTCAGGTCATTAATTGGTCATAATAGGTGTGGTGCTACTACACTTTTAGGCTCATCTACATGTGACCCCCTCTGTAATAAGGTATGTGCTTTAGATTTGATGATCCTTGATTAACTGCACGAACCTCCTATCAAAACTTGTTTCCCTTCAGTATTGCAAAAAGGTCACCCATTATTAGCAACTGCTTATACGACCTAGAACCATAAAAAACTCAATATTTTGGCTTGACATTAAGGCTTCGTTTGGGACACCTTTCTTATTTTTTCTTAAAACAGCTTTTTAGTACAAAAATTAAATTTTTTTTACTAGAAAGCTGCTTCAAGAAGCGGCAAGAGAGTCATCCCAAATGAAACCTAAATCAGACGGGATGAATTTGATACAACACATGTGAAAGATATTGTTTAAGTTTTTGAAAAATTTAAAAAGCTACCTCCTAATGGTACATAATCGTCTCAACGTGCATACAACAACAACAACAACAACAACATCAAGCCTTTATCTCACTACGTGGGGTCGGCTAATCAACGTGCATACAAAAAAAAAAAAAAAAAAGATAATCGATCTGTTAGTTTTCTTTTATTAAAATCGAATAAAAACGGATGTCTCATACCCATTGAACAACCTTGTAAATACAATACTATCGATCACTTGTGTGCAGCATTCACCCTGCTAGCTACAAGTTCTACTGATGCAATCAATTAGGATTTCATATCGTGCTGTGGAATCAATTTCTACGACCACGCCTCTACCGTCCCAGCATACAGGACTTGGTTGGTTAAGCACAGTGAAACAATTACATTGCCCATTCTAGAACAGCAATCGCCTATTATTAGTGTTCATCGTTAAGAAGTTAAACATAAAACTTCCAATGTGATCATATCTCACCCATAACTATGCACGGATTCGTTCTTCTTTAATTTCCAGGTACAAATCGATAGGCAATGTAAAAAAAGAAAGGTGAGGACTCCAGCTGGTTCCTTGATAGCAGAAAACAATTAAGAAGGGCTAACAAGAGCAAACATCAAATGATTCGCAAAAAAAAAAAGGAACGAAACATGATCTACTAATTTCAAGTCACTTAATCAAGCATCAACTGATCTATTTTTACAAAAACCATCAATCCCTTCTCGACACATGCATTGAAATAAATCAAAATGGGACGGGAAAAAGAGAGAAACGAAAAAGATAACATGAAACGATAAAGAAAATACCATCCATGGAGCCTTTTGTGAAGATTGATAGTGTACTCTCTTGTCACAACTTCTTCCTTCCGTCCTTTGCTACCCTTTTCAACCATTCTCACTGCCGCTTATCTTACCAGCTAAAACCCTAATCTGGATTTGCGCGGCCGCTGAAGAAGAACGACAATGAAACTATATATCTGGGCGAGTCGACCCAAACCAGTTCGAAACGGTGGCCGGCTCTTCTGAGCCGAAGATTAAATTACACATATCTTTTACTATTAAAGTTATTTCCATGAATGAGTGAAGTGAATTGCTGAAAAGACCACTAATCAGGGTCAGAATTTATTTTATTTTAAAAGAAAATTTAGCTCAAAATATTCTAATCAAATTTTATAATGATTTATTTTTAAAATCTTAATTATTCTAAAACAAATTTAATAAATTAAAATTTGATAATATTTTTCGTCTAATTATTTTCTTACCCCTTTTACCTCATAGTCCCAAGACTAGCATTTATCATATAACTTCATGCACTTATAATCTTCATTAATATAAAAAATGATCATAACATCAGCAAAAATTCTAAATTTCTAAATATTCAAATAAGCCTTAGTCAAATAATCGCAAGATTATCTCATTGATAATCGAAAAGAATTCTTGAGGACCATTTTGTTTTTCTAATAGTAAATAACTATCTAATATTATTGTATGCTTAAATATCTCATTGTCACAATTTAATTTAAATTTGGTAAAAATGTTAAGATCAACATGAACTAACTCATCATCTCTAACACACACTTATGAGGTCTACTGTACATTTTTATAGAGACGCAGTGAACCTGCCTTAGAAGATGACTAGGCATGTTCATATGGAGTCATCCTTTCCAGAATCTAATTTGAAATAATTATTCATTTAATTTTTTATTAAATAACAATTAGAACTATCTAATATCATATATTAATAAGAAACATCAAAACATATTCTATAATTCAAAACATCAATGTACTCATTTGTATTTGATTCTCAAAAATCATATACGATACCCATGATCTATACAACGAGTACAAAAGAATAGCTAAAAAAAAAAAAAACACGAACCTGAATGAATCCTGATTAGTCTCACACTCATGATCTTTTACCCTGATCTGAAATCATTTAACCAAATATAATGAAACGGCTACTGTACTTTCTTTAGGTTATATTTGTAAATACTAGTTGAATCTTTCCTTCTCACATCTCTATATATATCCACTGTACTCATTACTTTTAATATACACAATTACTTTTTCTATTCATTGCTATGTCTGTATACTTCTTCCTCTTTCTCTTTATTTCTGTCATGATATCAGAGCCAAGTTGGCTCCATGGCTGATCAAGAATCAGCTATCTCTCCCGCCTCCACCCCTGGCTCCACCTCAGGAAACACCTCTGACTACACCGCGCCGGCGCCTCTGAAGTTTCTAATCTCCAACCTCAAAACTCTCGTTCCCAACCCTCTGTCTACAGAGAACTACCACATATGGCGTATCCAGATTCTGCAGCATTTCTCGGCGAATGGGTTTGCTGGATTCCTGACAGGAGCGGCCTCTTGCCCCTCCGATCACTCCAGCAGTGCGTTCTTCCAGTGGAGCTTGATCGACCGCAACCTTATCTCGGCGCTCTTCTCCACCATTTCTCAAGCAATCCTACCATACGTTCTTACCGCCTCCGCTGCCCATGAAGTCTGGCAGATTCTTGAAAGAAGAATGCAACCCAACATTCGCTCTCAAGTCATACAACTCAAGAACGAACTTCATAACATCAAGATGACCAACTCCAATATGCAACAATACCTAATGCAGATCAAGAATTTGGTAGATAATATCGCCGCATCGGGCTCTCAAATCGACACTGAAGACATCCTAATATACATCATGAACGGACTTCCCTCCTCATACAACTCTTTCAAAACATCCATCCGCACATCCTTAAACGCCATCGACCTCGACACCCTCTATTCTTTACTTTGCAGTGAAGAAATCGCAATGCAGCGAGAACATCAAAAAGAAACTGGAGCTAATTTGGACAATCCGACCTTCTACACATCTCGGACAAGCTCCAACAGAGGAAACTGAGCAAATCGCACTTTCAAGAATAAGAAATATGACAATCGCTCCAAGTCAGATTACGCATCCCCTCCTCAACCGAACCAGTCCATGTCCAAGACCGATCGCCCTACTTGCCAAATCTGCGGCAAACCTGGACACATTGCGCTGAATTGCTGGCACCGAAACAATCCTAAATACGCTCCCACCATTCCACCGCCTAAATGGGCTCTTCTCTCTCAGCACACTCTGGTATCTACTAAGGACTGGATTCTTGATTCCGGAGCATCGAGCCACCTGACTCCGGACTTCAGCAACCTCAATCAAGGAACTAGCTACCACGGACCGGACACTATTTCCACCGCCAGTGGTACTTCTCTTCCCATTCAACACTCCGGTCAAGGGCTTCTTCCTCTTCCCGATTCGGCTCGTAAGCTTTACTTACGCAATCTACTTCATGTCCCTGCTCTTACTCATAATCTTATATCTATTTCAAAACTAACCAAAGACAATAAAGTCTCCATTTCATTTGAAGAACATGGCTTTGTCATTAAGGATGGTCAGGTCACCGCCCGCTTCTTCTTGGTCACCTGCATAACGGCCTCTACCGCGTACGGAACACCTTCCCGGATAGTCCCACGGCTCTTCTTGCGCGACATCAATATACTCGGTTATGGCATGCAAGACTTGGTCACCCACACGTTGGAGTGCTCACGCAGCTTCATCACCTGATCCCGTCGTTAGATCTTGACACTACTAAATTCCTTTGTAATTCTTGTAGTATGGCTAAATGCCACAAACTTCCCTTTAATAAACGAACCAACAATTCGTCTCATGTTTTTCAATTTATTCACTCGGACGTTTGGGGTCCGGCTCCCACTCAATCTCATAACGGCTTTAATTACTATGTCATTTTTGTTGACGATTTTTCCAAATTTACCTGGCTCTATCTAATGCACTCTAAAAGCGAAATGTTTTCCAAATTTTTTCATTTCTGTGCTCTCGTGAAAAATATTTTTAATACCACACCTAAAGTGTTCAAATCCGACGAAGGAGGAGAATTCTGCAGTACTCAGTTCAAATCTTTTCTCTCCTCGCACGGCATTCTCCATCAAACTAGCTGCCCGCATACCCCAAAACAGAACAAACTCGCTGAACGGAAGCATCGTCATATCCTGGAACTCACGCGATCCCTCCTGCTAGACGCTCATCTGCCCAAACAATTCTGGTCCGAAGCAGTAACAACGGCAACCTATCTAATCAACCGGATCCGTCACAGGCCATCTCAAATAAAATTCCCTACCAGATAATCCATGGCAGCGTACCGACGTATGATTATCTACGCACATTCGGCTGTTTGTGTTATCCGTGGCTCCGACCATACAACACAGACAAGCTATCTCCTCGGTCGCAACCATGTGTCTTTCTTGGCTACTCGTCACAACAAAAAGGCTATAAGTGTTTTAATTCTAGTACAAATAAAATTCTAATCTCACGCCATGTAACTTTTCAGAAACATATCTTTCCTTATATGCAAACTACAGATGCTCCTCCGTCCAGTTCAGAAAGCTCGTCTACATTCATCCCACCGCTCCTCACGACACCAACGTCCATTTCGCACACCTCCGCTCAGATCACTCCCAGATCGTTTCAATCGCACCCTCCCACCACCGGTCACAACCCTTCTACTAACACCTTCACACAGACCGCAACTGCTGAATCCCTGCCACCTGATCCTCCGCCAGCCCCATCGCATCCAATGCAGACTCGGGCTAAATCAGGAATCCACAAACCCAAAATAATATATGATCTCTCTGCTACAACCCATGAACTGTCCTCCCCGACTTCCTATGCTCAGGCTTCCAAAATACCGCACTGGCAGTCCGCAATGCAGGAGGAATTCTCAGCTCTCCAACGCCAAGGAACGTGGACCCTTGTTCCACCACCCAGTCAAGAACCAATTCTTGGCTGCAAATGGACATTCAAAACTAAACTACTACCAAACGGGAAGATTGATAGCTACAAAGCTCGTCTAGTTTCTCAGGGCTTTAATCAAACTCTCAGCGTCAACTACAAAGAAACATTTAGCACAGTCGCAAAAATGCCAACCATTCGGGCTCTCTTAACTCTAGCTCTTCACCGACAATGGACCATACTACAGCTCGACGTTTCAAATGCATTCCTCCACAGCGATCTCACGGACACAATGTACATGCGTCAACCCGTAGGATTCGTCAACGAAAAGCATCCACATTACGTTTGTCAACTACACAAATACCTCTATGGTCTTAAACAAGCACCGAGACAGTGGTTTAACAAACTCACGTCTCTCCTCCAACAGTTTGGGTTCAGGTTCAGTCATTCCGATCCTTCCCTTCTCATTTTTAATCTCAATAACATTCATTTATACTTCCTAATCTACGTTGATGATATTCTCTAATTAACAGGCAACGAATCCTCCAAAATTCAATCCTTCCTTCAATTCCTTCTGTCTCACTTCGCTCTAAAACAACTAGGAAATGTTTCTCTGTTTCTTAGCATTCAAATTCTTAAAACTTCCTCCGGATACATGCTGAATCAACGGCACTATGCTCTCAAGATCCTTCAAGACGCCGGACTACACGACTGCAGCAGCACTCCCACTCCAATCACGCCGTCCAGCTCTCAGTCCGATCCAACTGACAAGCCATTTGCCGATCCACATCTCTACCGCAATATAGTCGGATCCTTACAATACCTCTCAATTACTCGCCCTGACATCTCTTTCGCGTCCAACCGCATCTGTCAACATATGCACGCTCCCACCGACCGTCACTTCCAAATGCTCAAGAGATTTCTTCGATACATCAAAGGATCCCTCGATATCGGTCTACCAATTTCACCAGGCAACTTGACGCTCCCCACCTATGTTGATGCCGACTGGGCATCCGACTGCTCCGACAGGAAATCCGTCTCAGGATTTTGCACCTACCTTGGAAACACCCTCATCTCGTGGTCGGTCAAAAAGCAAGCAACTATTGCAAAGTCATCAACGGAGGCAGAATACCGATCGCTTTCAGCCGCCGCATCTGATGTTATATGGCTCTGACGGCTAGTGGAAGAACTACTCCTGCCTCAAGAAGCCCCCACCACCATCTACTGTGATAATATCTCCGCTATAGCTCTTGCAAGGAATCCCGTCTTTCACGCGCGCACCAAACACATCGAGCTAGATTACCATTTTCTTCATCAGCACATTGACAACCGGACAATTCGCTTGGAACACATCAGTTTCGTCGACCAACTCACAGACATCTTCACGAAGCCTCTTGCTATCACCAGGTTTCAATCTCTTCGGGACAAACTGATTCTCCCTGTACCGAGTGCTCAGTTTGCGGGGGGATAATAAGAGAAACGACTACTGTACTTTCTTTAGATTATATTTGAAAATACTAGTTGAATCTTTCCTTCTCACATCTCTATATATATCCACTGTACTCATTACTTTTAATATACAGAATTACTTTTTCTATTCATTGCTCTGTCCATATACTTCTTCCTCTTTCTATTTATTTCTGTCACTTTTACCCTGATCTGAAATCATTAACCAAATATAATGAGCTAAAAAACCAAATATGTTATCAAAACCTACAACTGAATTCAAAGTATGGTAAAGAAGCATGGTTTGCAAAATGGACACCTTAAGGTCTCAAAATTCTCACTTGCATTGAGGTGCCAATTTCTTAAGAATTTTCACTGGTGTCAAAAAATTACGAAAAAAATCGTGCAAGTAAATATGACGAAAACGATTTGCGATTTGGAGTTGTACTAACTCTATAAAGAAATATTTATCAGAGTCAAAATACGGATTATTACATTTTGTTGGAAGTCAACCAACACATTCAGAACTGATTAATGACTTAATGATAGTTTGCATATTATTTGAAAAGTCATAATATACATTGAATGTAATTATATGAATATAATCAAAATATCTTTCGTTTTATGTTAGACCTTCATTAGACTATATCTTATATTTTATGTATTTACCTTGCTATTTTCACCCCATCTATAAATAGGGATCGAAGATAAGCTTATAAGAGGGGATTTATATCAACCTCTCTCAATTTCAGTAAGCACACTTGAAATTATGAAAAATTCAAAAATATATTTGAAGAAACTTTCAATATAGTTTTTTTTGGACATTTAGATCAATTAATGCAGATTTACACACACATCACATACACAAATCTAAGACCTCTTAGTTGGCGGAGCCAGGATTTTTATATGTGAGGCACAAAATTTTGAATTTAAAAATACCCTCATCCTTTTTTCATTTTACCTTGAAATTGACATCATAGTTTAGTTTTTTTTTTTTAATTATAAGAAGATAAATTTTATGATAATAAAAAAAAAACTTATTGTCACACTCATCTAAATTAATTTAAACACAAATTTATTTAAAATATATATTATCATACTAATATGTTTCAACTACTCTTCTATCATATATTTTCATATCTAATTTAAATAAAAATATAACTAAAAAATATTTAAAGAGTAATAAACATATAAAAAAATTGCATCTACTTATTATAAAATTATATTTAAAATATATTAAAATTTATAATAAATATATATTAAACGACTTGATTTAAATTTAAATATTATAATTTTCCTCTAATGTAATTTGTTGGCTTTTATTACATAAATTTCCTATAAAGTAGAAGTTGGAGTTTTACACAACTCTCTTTGGCCTATTGGTTGAGAGCTTAGGCTTCCAACTAAGAGGTCCAAGGTCCGAGTCTCTGTGTATGCGTTGTGTGTGTGAGTTTGCCTTAAATGGCCTAAATGTCCCAAAAAAAAAAAGTTGGAGTTTTGAAAATAATAAAAAATTTGATGAAATTTTAATTAAAATAATAGTAGTAATGTAAAGATGGAGAGAGATAATTAATCTCACCTCTCATGAAGAGAGAGAGAGAGAAAAGAGGGAGAGGTAGGGCCGAGGGACTAGTGAAAGAGATTGCTAGCTATAAAAACAAAATGTAAAAGAAAAAATAAAGAGAGAGAGAGAGAGAGTGGAGAGAGAATAGTTAAAAGAGAGATGGAAAGAGATGGTGAGAGTCAATGAGCATGGTATAAATGTAATTTCCCTCTTTGAAATTGCACTTAATTAAAATCCACTAGCAAAATAGACAATTCATGAGGCTTAGGCTTCGTTCGGGACAACTTTTTTACAACTAATTCGAAAATATTTTGTATTAGAAAGCTGTTTTAAAAAGCATCAAAGAAGCAATCTCAAATCGAAGCCTTAATTTAAGCACTTAAAATTCACTGATTGTCACTCTAAAGTTCAGATTGTCTGATGCTTGAAGCAACATGAGAAGCAGAAAACTTCCAAAAAGAGAGACAGTGCCAGGCCATATGAGGGGGTCTTTGATAGGGAGAAGCCAAGTGAAGTTGTTTTCAGCAGTTGGATTTGAAGCCACGGAGGGGCCTTCTCTTGATTGCAAAGATTTTCTAGAAATTCAGAATATGAGGATGGGACGCAATCGAAGGAGATTTTTCCCCTGATTTTCTCTCTTTTGGATCCGTTCTTCTTTTTATATATATATTTCTTCTGTAATTTAGAAGAACGAGAACAAAAAGCGGATAGAGTGAGATGCATTGGATTTACTCTTAATTAGCTGGCGTGGGATCGCCGAAAGCGATACAATCACTTTAGAAGTAATAATCGGAGGTTTTGTAATAACATTAACGATGAATTCATTGTTAATGCACATTTCCTTTCGTGAGGCTTTGTTTTTAAGGAAATGTAAGAAAAAAAAAATGAAACACAGCTCATCTTGTTCTGTTGGTTAGGAGTTTTGACTTTCAACCAAGAGGTCTTGAATTCGAAGTTTGAGTATATGATATGCGTATGAGTCTTACTAATTGACCTAAATGACAAAAAAATTGAAAATTATAATTTGTCATTCAGTTTGTCGAGCTCACTTGGGGTACTCCCCTGCTTGGGTTTTACAGCGGGGGATTTTTTTTGTACAAACGTACAATGCTGCGACATTGTGTACCTAATGCCACGACTAGGGGTGTAAGTAAGTCAACCCAACTTGTGATCAAACTCGGGCTCGACTGGCTAAATGGCTTGTGAATTGAGCTCAATGAGTTAACGAGCCAAGTTTTAGCTAGCCTTGACTGGACTTGACTCATTTGCTCACGAGCTGGCTTGTTTAAAAATATTAATATAAAATATACTTGAAATATATTAGAATTAAAGATTTTAAGTATAAAGTTATTAAAAATATTAAAAAATTATATATCACTTTCTTATTAAGTGTTTTATTATTATTATTTTTATAATTTGTCATTTTTTAATTATTTTATTATAATAATTGCTTATTTTATAATTATTTTTTCTCTTTCATAATAAACGAGCCAACTTGTAAGCCACCTCTAACTCGTAGAATAAAGCTCGTGCTCAAACTTGATTAATTAATCAAGTTCAAGCTCAAGCCAATGGTGGCTCGAGATCGAATTGACTGGTTTACACCCCTCGCTGTGGCGCTATATAGTTTGCTTGGAGATAGATAAAAAGTTGATCTAAACCCCGTCAATGCCATGGAGCACTACGACGCTCCAAAACCCGGTAGCTGCGGCGCTATCAGGCAGATTAAAGACAGAGGGTAGAGTACCGCGGCTCTCCAAATTTGGTGCCTCCACACTGCCAGACAAGCTGGTGGTTTTCTTTTTTGTTTTTCATTAAGGGTTGTGTCCCTTGGTGATTTTTGTATGTTTATCTTTATTTGTTTGTAGAGAAAAGTGCAAGAGAGATAAGGAAAAAAAAAAAACTAGATTTACAATATTTTTCTCAAAATTTTATAGGGATATTCTTGGCGTGGCTCTGATTTTTTTTTTAGCTGATTGGGTTTTCCATATTAAACGCTGGTGTTTTTTTATTTTCGCTCCATTTTTTAATTTCTTTTTTGTGTTTGCTGCATCGTTTACTTCCCCAACATAAAAATATTCATAGAAATTACTGATGATAAATATAAATTTTTAGATTGTCTCAGTGTGAGGTTGCAAGACCATTTTGAAGAGCTCGAAGTTACTATTTTTGTTTAATAATAGATTTAAATCAGTAGATTTCTTTATCAAAGTATAAGTTTAAATACTAATCGATTATATGATCTATTGTTACTTATTACTTTCTTTCTTCGCAGGCATTGCAACCAAAAATGAAAAAAAAAAAAAACAAAAAACAAAAAAGTTTGATGAGATTTGTTATTTTAACCTCATTTAATTTCATTATTTGATCCTTCCTACTATTGAACTGTTAAAAGATAATGCTGGGCTCATCCGCGTAGCTCGATTGGTAGACGCGAATAATTTTCTCTCGCGAGCCCGCATTCGAAGGAATCTCCTAATGTAAAAAAAAAAAGATAATGTTAATGCCCTCATTATTATTATTATTATTTTTTGCGAACAGGGGTATCTACTCTCTGCCACTCCAAAGGTAGAGCTTGGTGGCTTAACTAATCACTCGACAGAACTGAGAGAGGCCATCATTAGCATTGGGCCCACACTTATTTTGTCCCACTGAAGAGGCGAGTCCGTACTATCGGAGATTCAAACCCGAGATGAAAATTTCCAATCATGCTCGCTCATCAATCACCCTAAGTCTCGATAGGTTGTCCTCATTAATTAATAAGGCCTAACGTTAAGCTTGTCATCTTAGGTCTATAGCATTTCGTTTTTTTTTTCCACATAAAGAACTACTGTGCTGTGGGACTGGAAAATATTCCTGTTAATTTATCCGACCTGCAAGTCGTACCAAACCTAGGAAAGAGAAAGAATTAATTTACAGAAGCTACTGCGAACTGTAGCATGTGATGGAATAATGATTTGGTCAGTCAATTAAATATATTGATGACGAGAATATTTTTAAGAATTTTTTCTTCTATGTTATAAAATTTTTATATATTTATTTATAGAACATATAAATCTTCATAATTCTAAAGATTTTTAAATATAACACTCAAAAATATAAATTTTATATATTTGATATCTAAATTTAATTATTTATATAAGAAATCATATCTTTAACGGTCTTATTTTGGACGGCCAAGACAAAGCCGTCATAGTTTGATAATCTACGGATCATGATCTAGTTGGAAACTAATTGGAGTGTATGAACGTCAATGTGCTACCACAATCATGGGTTTCTACCGGACATCAGATCGTTAGTGAGACCATCAAAGAGCAATATTAGTGGAATTGGAAGTAGAACTAACATGTAGCATACGAGATAGGAGGAAAAGAGAAAGAAGATATTGGTGTGTGGATTGTAAAGCTAGAACGGATGAGGAGGAGCCATCTTTGCATCTGAAGTCGCCGCCATCACATTGTGTATTGTGACTTTGGAAAAATTATTCTGTGGACGCCGAAGGCCATCCGTGGACCAATCAGAATGTGCCACGTCACCCATTCGTTCGGTGCCGAGACTCGATACCGTTGACGTGACTGCATCTTATTTGCATTCGGATGTAGAGTTGTGTCTGGCCTTCGCACATAATAGTTTTTTCGGTGACTTTGCTAGGGGAGGATGGGTAGTGCTATTTTTGAGATTATTTAAAATTTTGGAGGTTTTGTGTATGATTTAAAGATTTGAATATTATAGAAATAAATATGAAAATTTAGTTAATAGCACGTATGCTTGGCGGTGAAAATTTAGTTAATAGCACGTGGGCGCCATAGATAACTTCAAAACTAATTCTAAACTAATCCATAATTACACAACAAACCCCGGCGCCTTAACCATTACCTCGTCTACTATGATTCCAGTGCCCACCAAATCAGGCAAACCATTCAGCCCCTATCCAAAAATAGTAAAATAAAGATCTCTATCGTTACCGTCAGAATTCCGTCAACGACACCGACGCCGGCGATGTTGCCGTGACCGCGTGCCGTTGCCGCAGCTTCTTGAAATAATCCCTCACATCAAACCCGACGGTTCTATCGACATCAGGTAACCTCACCTCCCCTTCCTCAATCTCCTCCGCTGTCGCTAGAAACGGCGGGCGCCCAACGTCGGCGAGCATTTCCCATCTCAATCCAGTAAAGAACGGGTGCGCCTTCACCTCCTCGGCTCCTCCGGAATACCCCAAACGCTTCTCTGGCTCCTTTGCAAGGAGCCTCACAATCAAATCCGTCAATTCGGACGGGTAATTCCCAACAAACTCGGGCTTCATCGTCAGCACGTTACGGAAAGTTTCCTTCCTGTTCCGCCCTCTAAACGGCGTCCGGCCATAAGCCATCTCGTAGGCCAGAATACCCAGTGCCCACCAATCCACGGAGAACTCATGCCCGTCGCCCCTAACCACCTCCGGCGAGACGTACTCCTCCGTGCCAACAAATGAGTGGGACCGCTCCACCCGGCTCACCGGGGAGACCCTTGCGGATTTCGCCTTCTTGAGGTCTGGTGGGGTCGGGAGAAAGACAGAATTTTGAGCGCTGAAGAAGATGCGGGTGATTTTACTGCAATGGCGGTTGCGGCGGCGGCGGTGGTTTACATACGGTAAGGGAAAGGTGGTTGATGGAATTGGGGAAACGTTTCGTGGGGTAAGGTGTCGTGAGAGGTCGAAATCTGTGAGAAGAATATGGCCGGAGGATTGGAGTAGGACGTTCTCGGGTTTAAGGTCACGATAGACGATGCCGATGGAATGGAGGTGGGAAAGCGCGGAGATGAGTTCGGAGAGGTAGAAGCGGATGGCGGATGTGGAGAAGACGCGGTCGGGTGAGAGGGAGTGGCGAAGAGAGTTGAGGTCGCCGGCGGGGCAGAAGGGGATGGCCCAAGCGAGGAGGTCAGGGGTTTCGGCGTAGCCAATGAGGTAAGGGAGGAAGGGGTGGCGGTCGGTAAGGAGGCAGGAGTGTACGGACAGCTCCCACCGGGCTCGGCTCTCGGTGTCGGGCTTCGCCGACGGGTTGTGTTTCTCGACGACTTTTAAGGCGAAGGGTGGAGTTGATGGAGATGAACGGTCGGCGACGAGGAAGACGGTGCCGGTGGCTCCCCGGCCTAGGACGCGGATCGCGCATAGGTTGTCGAAGTCTAGTTCCATTGAAGGAGAAATTGCGCGGGGAAAGGGGGGTGTCTCGGCTTATTTTCTCTGGAAGGATTAGTGAGTGTTTGTTATTTATCTAATTTTGCATTAGGGTGGCTGTTAAGAAGTTGCTCGGGATACGATCACCGCGCGTGTGTGTAAGTACGCAGCTCCTATGGGAAGAAATGGGGAGAGGGCATGAAGTAAATGATCGAGTATTAACATTATTTATGCTATAAAAAAATAACTTGATTTTATGAAGAGAGATTTCAAATCTTTTATTTTTTAGTTCAACTATTCATATTATTAGTCTAATTCACAGTTTAAAATATTTTAATATTACGATTTATAATTTAACAAAGAAATAATTCACATTATTCATTTATTATTCGAACAATCAATTTTATTCATCTAAATCATTATTTTAAAAAAAAAATTATTTAAAATTTATTAATTAAGGAATAATAACCCTAATCACTTAACCTTTTTTTTTTAAGTTTTTTATAATTAAAAATTTTTAGAATATAAATGACATGTTTTTTTGCCCCATTTATTCTCCATTTATATATGAGTCAATAAAATTATTTATTCAATAGCTTATAATTTTGAGCACTTAATTACTTATAGTATGCATTCTCATAAAAAAAAATTAATTAATTGCTCTCCACATCCCTCTATCTTCATGAGAAATTATTCTGTGCGGAAATCAGACTTTTCAGAGACCAATCAGAACACACCATATTACCTGGTACACAGCAAGATCGAGCGCTGGTACCAAGCAAAAAGTGATGTGACACTTTTTGTTGGCCTCCCAATATCGTTTGGTATCGGCACATAATAAATTTTCCCTTTTTTTACATAATAGTTTTTTCTATCTTCACAAAGTATTATTATTCCATTCTTCGCCACTCTTTGTTTTGTACTATTATCCTTAATTACAAATCATCAAAACAAAAAGTAGAATTAAATAATTCATTTAAAATAGTTTTCTTATTGCTTTCTAAAATAATTTTTTTAGTACAAAATTATTTTAAGCTAAAATTTTTTCTACTAAAAAATAATTTATGAACCCAAAAATAATTTATGAAACCTAAAACTCACATAAACAGAGCTAGAAATTTATGAAGAGTAGCCAACACAAATGCCAAAGATGAGGACATCGGCAGCATTGGAGAAACCATGGCGTCCGCCAACTTCCTATTTTTATCTATTGCTCAATGCCAAGCTCTTTGTGATCACCTTCTTCATCCTCTCGCATCATGCCTGTTTGGCAAATTCAATGGAAGAATCCCTCGTGTTCTCCTCACCTTCCTCTTCCAACATCTTAACTCCCTAGCTCATCGTCCCCAATCACTTCCCATCCGCGAAAATTTGCAAGGGTGGTGAGCCGAACATATTAATTACCTGTCGGATAATATGTTGTAGGTGTCCAATAGATTGATTGCGTTGGGGATTAGCGGAGAGCACCGTAAGGGAAAGGACAGAAATAAGGTTTGCTTACTGAGGAGGCGAAGCACATGGACGTCTGCTACTCCCTTATGCTACGCTACTATGATTCTAAGAAGACGAAAGACATGCGGTGGCTTTACGGTATCATTTTATTACTGCTTCTTCTTTGAATAATAATTTTTTACTGAAAAGCTTCAATAAGAAAGCTATTGGTTTGAGACAAATTTAATTATTTAAAACACTGATTTTTTCATGCTTTTAAGATCTCGTTTGGGATGGCTTTCTTCCTGCTTCTTAAAACAACATTTTTATTTAAGAAGTAGGAAGAAAATCATCCCAAACGAAGTCTAAAAGATTTTTGTAATAAAAAAAGCTTTATAAGACTGTAAGAATGCCGTCCCTAATGAAGACTAAATATTTTGATTAGAAAATATTATACTTCATAGGATAATCTATGTTGATTTTTTAAACATGTTAGGATTCATTTGAGATAACTTTATTAATGCTTCCTAAAATATTTTTCTAATACAATTTTTTTTTGTTCTAAATAGTACTTTAAAAAATAGTAACAAAACTGTCTCAAATAAAATATCAATATCTTTATGGTATACAAAATTGAGCTATCTTGAGCCCGATATATTTGTTATATCGAAATGCTCATTTTAATAATCAATAATTCTTTCATAAGACCATCAATCCCTTAAATGTGCTCATGATATTTCTAATTATATTTTTTTTTTTGTACTTGGTTTATATTCAGTTGGGCTTGTATGAAGGTGTTCTTGGTATCATAAAATTTGTCCTTCACGTATAGAGATGCATTGAGGGTGGTTCTTGCCCTTCAAATCTAAGATAAAATATATATCATATGAATGTTTTATCCTTAATTTCTCATGCATTTGTATACATTAAGTTTTACTAAAATGCATTAATCATCCTCTTGTAAATGAAAAAAAAAGTCTCTCACGCTTTATATGTGAAAATTTAGAAAGAGAAAAATCATAAGGTCTGACTCAGTGAAATTATCAACATTATAAAAAAAATTATAGAAAATCATCATTCCTCTCAATTTCGATATATATGAGATTAAAATATTGCAAAGATTATCTCTTGTGTTTGTAATAGAGATTTTTAAGGAAATAATGCAGGTTGATGGCGAGAAAAGTGACGAAGTTTGATGATAGTGGTAAGTTGATGTTAGTCAAGTGATAATGGCCAGACAATGAAAGTTGAACGATAGTGATAGTTGACGGTGTTTGTCGGTATCAAATATCAAAAAATATTTTAGAGTTATTTAGATGTACAAGCTCTCTTTTATGCGAAGAATAGAAGTTCATTTATAAATTTTAATAGTGGTACTTGATAAATCTTGCTAAAATTTCAAAAACCTTTATTGGATGACTCATATTAATGACTTTAATTAAAAATTATTCTCTTAATATTTACACGCCTCAATGACTTTTAATTAAGTGATCTTTGGCTCATTAAGTTTCTCTCATCATAATTGACTGTAATCCCACAAAATTTGAAGGTCATTTGATCCTCCAATTAATAATATGAAGTGCTTTAAGTGCTTGATTTGAGCTTATTTAGATTCAAATTGGATCATCGTTAAATTCATCTAGTCTAGATGTTAAGTTCAGTTATTAGTCTGCTAAAATTATAGTTCAAATGATCCTCAAGTCAATTCTAAAGATTTCTTGCATCAAAATTTATGCATGATTGATAAATTTTTTGATGTTGTATCACTATATATAGCTATAGAACTATGGAATTGGGGTGACTAACAATCCTCTAAAATTAAGAAAGGTCAAATATAATTATATAAAATATCAGAATTTATCCTTAAATTCTTATGAAGTAATATAAATAAAGTTTTACCCCTTTCTTAAATTTAGGATAAATCATTTTGTCTTCTCTCCTTTAAAATTCCTATCCACATGCCCAAAATAAAAAATTATAATAGAAATCAAGGAATCTTTGTTTAATTGTTTTGGGCTGATGATTGAAGATAGAAAAAATACAAAGACTTGTGTTTAATTGCGAATTTGCCTAGAATTGCCGAAGTGCTCATCAAAGCAAAAGCTAAAGGTTACATTGTTTTCTTCCTCATATAAGCCCATGTGCGATTTGCATTGCTGTTGTGTTCTGACAGGACAATCAATGCTTATTCTTCCGCATTATGTTATTAATTCTTAACAACAACCTACCATTATAGTAATGCTCGAAAACATATTAGTTTGTTTATGTTTGTTGCATCTTGGAATATTCGTGATGATATAAAGATAAATAGCTTAATATTTTAGTTTTGAGTGAAGATCCAACATACATATGGATAAAGAGAGAAGGGTACGAGAGTCATAAAAGACATTATATTTTTTATATGGAAACATCTAAAAAGAGGAAAAAGTTACAGTGCATGACCCAATTGAAATGAATCCACCAGCGCTTATTGTTGATCGCAAATAATGCCATTTCCTCAAGGGAAGGTGTTGGCTAAATATACATCATTTATAGTATGTTATATAGTTGGGGTTGAAAGAATCTAATGATGTGATAGCTATTCTTGAGAGAATGTTAGGCTGTTCATTTGCTTGGTAGGACCGTAGTCGGATAACGGAGGTTGAAGTTATCATAGTCAGGCGATGTTGGTCAGAGGGACTGTAGTCGGCGAGCGGTGGAAGTTGGAGGGACTGTAAACAATAAGCGAAGATGATGGGTGGGACGATAGTCGGCAAACAATAGAGGTCGGAGGGACCGTAGTTGGCAAACGAAGGTGGTCGGAGGGACCATAGTCAATGAGCGATGGTGGTTGGAGGAATTGTAGTTAACGAGCGACGAAAGTCAAAGGGACCGTAGACAGCGGGTGATGGTGGTTGGCAGGAATGTATTGGAGAACGAAGGTGGTTGGAGGGACTGTAGTTGGCTAGTGACAATGAATGAGGGGATTGTAGTCAATGGGTGTAATCAGAGGAATCGTAGTTGGCAGGCGATGGTGGTCGAAGGGAGCGTAGTCGATAGGTGATGTTGGTCGGATGGATCGTAGATGGTGGGCGATTGTGGTTGAAGAGACCGAAGTTGGCGAACGATGGTGGTCAGAAGAATCATGGTCGACAAGCAATAGAGGTTATATGGACCATAGTCGGTCGAAAATGATGGTCAAAGGGATCATAGTCCATAAGAGACAAAGGTTAGAGGGAGCATAGTCGGCGGGCGGCGATAATCGGAGGGACCTTAGTCGATGAGCGATGATGGTCGGAGGGGTGTGTTGAGGGCAGCCAAGCAGTGTTTCTGTGACAATCGGCGGCCAAGCGGAGGTCTAGCTGTGATCGGCGGTCAGACAGAGGTTCAATGGTGATTGGTGGATAGGAGGTGGTCCGACAATGGTTGGCGGCTGGGAGGAGGTTCAATAGAGGTCAGCAGATGGGCGGAGGTTTGGAGGTGGTAGGCAGACTGTCCTCAAATATGAAGAAGAACCAATGTAATTTTAGAGTGCTCAATCAAATGACTCATATCGATTCCATTGATCATATAACATTCATTCAAAATTACCTTAATGATGTTGAAATTAAGTGTTT